AAGACTTACACAGCCAGTCATTCACAGTCTAGGTTCCTCCAGTGCATTGATGATAACTTCTTAATGCAAATGGTGGATGAACCAACTAGGAGAGGGGCACTGATGGATCTGGTACTCACCAACAAGGAGGGTCTGGTTGAAGTGACGGTCAATGGCAGCCTGGGCTGCAGTGACCATGAGATGGTGGAGTTTAGGATCTTGTGTGGGAGGAATAGAATACGTAGCAAGGCCACATTTCTGGATTTCCAAAGGGCAAACTTTGGCCTCTTCAATCAATTGCTAAGGGAAGTATCGTGGCAAAGGGTACTAGGTGGTAAAGGGGCTCAAGACAGTTGGTCAGCATTCAAGAACCACTTCTTCAAAGCTCAGGATCAGAGTGTCCCAGTGAGTAGGAAGTCAAGTAGGGGAGCCAGGAGACCAGCATGGTTAAACAAGGAACTGCTGGGCAAACTCATATGGAAAAAGAGAATCTATGGATTATGGAAGGAGGGGCTGGCCACTTGGAAGGGATATAGGACAGCTGTTAGAGGATGTAGGGAAGCAATTAGGACACTTAAGGCCTCCTTGGAACTTAATCTGGCAAGTCGGGTCAAGGACAATAGAAAGGGCTTCTTCAAACACATAGCGAATAAAACTAACACAAGAAGCAATATAGGCCCACTGCTGAATGAGGTGGGTGCCCTGGAGACAGAGGATATAAAGAAGGCAGAGGTGTTGAATGCCTTCTTTGCCTCTGTCTTTACTCCTGCAGACTCTCCCCGGGGGGACCCAGATTCCTATAGCCCCAGAAGGAGTCAGGATAAAGGAGGAGTTTGCTTTGGTGGATGAGGATTGGGTCAGGGATCAGTTAAGTAATCTGGACATCTATAAATCGATGGGTCCGGATGGAATACACCCATGGGTGCCGAGGGAGCTGGCGGACGTCATTGCTGAGCCACTCTCCATCATCTTTGGTAAGTCGTGGGAAACAGGAGAGGTGCCTGAGGATTGGAGGATGGCAAATGTCACGCCAGTCTGTAAGAAGGGCAAGAAGGAGGACCCGGGTAATTATAGACCGGTCAGCCTTACCTCCATCCCTGGAAAGGTGATGGAACAACTTATTCTTGACACCATCTCTAGGCATATCAAGGATGAGGGGGTCATTAAGAGCAGCCAACATAGCTTTAACAAGGGGAAGTCATGTTTGACCAACCTTATAGCCTTCTATGAGCAGGTAACTAGGTGGATGGATGATGGTAGAGTGGTAGATGTGTTTTTTCTTGATTTCAGTAAGGCATTTGATACTGTCTCCCACAGCATCCTCATAGATAAGCTAAGGAAGTGTGGGCTTGATGATCAGGTAGTGAGGTGGATCAAGAACTGGTCAAAAGGAAGAAGGCAGAGAGTTGTGGTCAATGGGGCAGAATCTAGCTGGAGGTCTGTGACTAGTGGAGTCCCTCAGGGGTCGGTGCTGGGACCAGTGCTGTTTAATATTTTCATCAACAACCTGGATGAGGGAACTGAATGCACCCTCAGCAGGTTTGCTGATGATACTAAACTGGGAGGAGTGGCTGACACACCAGAGGGCTGTGTTGCCATTCAGCGAGACCTGGACAGGCTGGAGAGGTGGGCAGAGAGGAACTTGATGAAATTCAACAAGGGTGAATGTAGAGTCTTGCATCTGGGGAAGAACAACCCCATGTACCAGTACAGGTTGGGGGCTGACCTGCAGGACAGTAGCGAAGGGGAAAGGGACCTGGTGGATAGGAGGATGACCATGAGCCAGCAATGTGCCCTTGTGGCCAAGAAGGCCAATGGCATCCTAGGGTGCATTAGAAAGGGTGTGGTTAGTAGGTCAAGAGAGGTTCTCCTCCCCCTCTACTCTGCCTTGGTGAGGCTGTATCTGGAATATTGTGTCCAGGTCTGGGCCCCTCAGTTCAAGAAGGACAGGGAATTGCTTGAAAGATTCCAGCGCAGAGCTACAAAGATGATTAAGGGAGTGGAACATCTCCCTTATGAGGAGAGGCTGAGGGAGCTGGGACTCTTTAGCTTGGAGGAGACTGAGGGGTGACCTCATCAATGTTTACAAATATGTAAAGGGTGAGTGTCAGGATGATGGAGCTAGGGTTTTTTCAGTGATGTCCAGTGATAGGACAAGGGGCAATGGGTGTAAACTGGAGCATAGGAGGTTCCATGTGAACATCAGGAAAAATCTCTTTACTGTGAGAGTGACAGAGCACTGGAACAGGTTGCCCAGGGGGGTTGTGGAGTCTCCTACGTTGGAGATACTCAAGGCCCGCCTGGACAAGTTCCTGTGTGATGTACTCTAGGTTACCCTGCTCTTGCAGGAGGGTTGGACTAGATGATCTTTTGAGGTCCCTTCCAACCCTTAGGATTCTGTGATTCTGTGAAAGGAGTAATCTGGGCACCTATATGAAGATCAAACAAAAAGAAACAGTTTCTCAAGTTATTTCTGTAAGGGGAGGAAGCCTCTTGAGCTCTTGCTTACTTTTTTTAATTACTCAAGCTGTATAGCAGGTGTAGTTAATTACTTGAAGTCCAAAGAACCTTTAAAAAACAAGTAGCTATGACAAATCTATTAGCATAAATACAAAGGGATTTTAATGATGGAATATCTTAGAGACTTCTTTTTGTCAAAAATATCAGAGATTTTCTCTTTCCACCAATATTAAAAGAAATTCTCTTCCCTTAATTACTTGGGATAAACTATTTTTAGAATAATAGCATCTGAACATATTGAAAAACTGTCACGCTGTTACAGGACTCAATCTTCACCATCTGGGAGCTTGGCCAGCACTGCAGTGGGTTTTTGAGGAGTTTGGTTTGGGTTTATTTGGTGAGTTTTAGGGGGTTTCATTGTTGTTGGGGGGGTGCTGTTTGGGGCTTTTTATTATTTATTTTTAATTCTTAAGAGAAGGATGAAAAATTTTAGAAATCCTGGCAACACCACAACAGTCTGTTACAGAAGCTGATGGCGAGCCCTGAACTGCATCTTGAACTGCATGTACAGCTGCAGTGATACACTTTGACTTCGTGCATTTGTGTCCTCAGCAAAGGCTGGATGAACACTTAACAGCAAACCTTTGAAGCCTGGTTGCAATAGAGAACCTAGACTGAGGCCCAGGTCTATGGGGTATTCAGAAAGGCAACCCTTGCATACAAAAGCAACAAATTATATTACAATATTTGACAATTCTTTCATCTTCTAAGGGAACTTTGAAATGGTCATCTACTGTTCATCAAAATATGGTTCCAAAATATAAAGCAGTGCCAAAAAGAGGGTTTAACTTTTAATCCTTCCCCTGAAAAGATACTTTTCACAGAAGCAGGATGAATACCAGCAGTTCAGCATGGAAATGTCTCCCAGAAATAGCAGGAAGAGTGGAAAAAAACATGCTGCAAGGTCATTAACAACACCTATCAAGATACACAAAAATGTGTAGTAATACAAAATACTACTGCAGAAAAGTCCAGGTAGACAACCCAAAAATCACACAAAAAGGCATAAATAAATTAAAACAAGTAACAGCTGCAGAGTCTATCTACTGAATCTTTGGAAGGTGGTGGTGGTGGGAAAACATACAGATTCTCCAAGTATTTAACAGTTACAGAGAAATTTACTTGTTTCTGGAAGCCTGATAAGTCAATTGAATCTCTGCAGACTAGAAGCATCAATACATGTTGTTATACATTAGATTTTACTATTAAAACATTAATTTTAATATTATATTTAATAAAGAGTATGGTTTTCAAAACAACAACCCTCAGAATGTTCTTAAGACTTGTCTTACGCTTATGGATTGGGGTACATAGAACCATAGAATTGGCTAGGTTGGAAAAGCCCTCTAAGATCATGAAGTCCAACCATTATCCCAGGACTGCCAAGCTCACCGCTAAACTATGTCCTGAAGTAAAATGATATTAAGAGGGGGTTAGGCAGCACACAGTCACTCAACTTGATCTTGAGGTCTGTTTCCATCATTTTTCACTTAGCACTAAATTGCTTTTAAATTTAAGAGTTATGCAAAATAAATACTTCCATATTCAAAAGTATGAGTGATTAAATCTAAATATCTAGAAACCTCTTTTTATAAATATACAACCAAAAATAATGAGGTCAACAAGGCAAAATCCACTAATGTAAAATATTCATTATAACAGCACTGCAACATTTGCTAAGCCTATTTCAAGGAGTAGCCTAAAATTTAAGGGGTGATCTAGAGTCCCTTTCACACAGTAAGAGAAAGAAATGCAAATGCTAGCATTTGGGGACAAAAAAAAAAAAAAAAAAAGGAAAAAAAGGCAGCAGGCAAAAAAAGAAAAGGCATGAAAATAAGCAAATTCTGCATTAGGATTCAGTTCTTAAAATATCTCCATTGTTGTCTTGGTTTCTATTTGTTTTCCACAATCACCCAAAATGGCATCCTTTCAAAACTGTTATATAAAGACTCATTACTTGTTAAAGATGCCCAGAATTCTAGTATGGGATTCCTTGGCTCTGCTCAGAGCTGGGTTTTGCATAAGAACAGATGAGTGATTTTTCAACCAGCTGTCACATCCCAAATACTTCAGGGCTTCTGGGTGTTCAAGAGCTCACACTACCAATTAAAGCACCTGCAGGCAGAGCTGGAGCAATGCACACCAACCATATGTGTGATCCTTTTTCTCCGGCCATCCGACCAGAGCTTGAGCAATGCACACCAACCATACATGAGCTCCCTTTTCTCCGGCCATCCTACCACTGCTTCAGAGCAGTCCTACACACTTGAGAACACAGTGATTTTTCTTTTACCTGCATCCACTGGCAGGCTGGTGGCAAAGCTGCTGAGCACAGCCACAGAGATCTTAACAATAACGCTTACAGGGTTTCCAGCTTTGAACCAGTTTTTGTATTATACTAACACAAGTTACAAAACATACTTGAACACTTTTATGCATATCAGTGCTGTATTAACAAGAATTTTTAAGCTTACAAATGTTTCCATAATAATCATCCTTACCTATGCAGTTTATCCTCCAGTATCTCCATATATTTTTCAGCATTTTCTTTTACACTGGTGACTGGAAAATAAAAGTTAAAGTTAGGTAATGGTATAACTGTACAGTTTTTAACCAACTCATTTCTTATCCACAGGTTTTATTTATATATATATATATATATATATATATATATATATCACTTTGAAACTGTAATTCCATTAATCTTTTCCATATTCAAATTGCAGTGTGGGTGTCTTCTCCCTGTTTTTCTTGACAGTCTATTGTATCCGTACTGCCTTAATATATCTTGTAAATCCCACACACCTAGGTCCTCCCCTTTACCATCAGGAGAAGCAAGGAAGCTTAACTAATTTGTCAGTCCACGCACAAGAGTCCTTTCGAATGTTACGAATCTTGTATCAAACTTCTTTTGATAGAACCAAAACAGCATAGAATAGAAAGAGTTACTGCTAAAGATTGTTTTAGGATTTGTGATGGGATTTGTGTTTTGGCATTTTGGGTTGGTTTGTTTGTTTTTAAACTGGGTACCTAGATACTGCCTGCATGAGTCCCTACTACTTCTCTCAGAAGAAACTCCAATAAACCACTCATCATAACACACAACAATAAAGCCATTCCTCTGGATGACACTTGGTCCTCCATCGTGGGTATGAGTGGGGGAAAAGGTAAATCCCCTCCAGGAAACAGGAGGCTTTTAGAGAATTAACTCTTTTCACATTACGATAACTTTTTTTCCCTCCCTAATAGCTGCTTGCCAACTCCTAGTCTAGTAAGAGATTATAAACCAGTTGGTCAATTTTAAACTCTTAACTCGTTGTACATCAGTTAAACATTCATTTTACATAAAAATGCGTTCTACAGACCATCACTGTTTTGATGGGCAAAGCTTGCTACATGGATGAGGTACCCTGTCAATGTAACCATCCGTCTCCCCCTGTCTTCCCTACAATACAATAATACCTCCAAGCACATTTTACACATATCAAGTACTTCATATTTCTCACTCCCCTGTCCTCGCTCTTTTTTTTTTTTTTCCCAGCACAAAATAAAATGTCACACACTAAAGCCTAATCTGAAAACTCAGCATTAACCAAATCAGCTGTGCTAAAGTTCTGTTCACACACACATACACACAGAGGATTTCACTAAATGAAGCCGCATGGGTATTACCATTAGCAGTGAGCATCAGGGTCAACCTAACATCAACTGTCTGCAGACAGTGGTATTTACCTGGTCACACAGCAGTTACACATCACTTAAGCAGTCTGCATCCTAATAGCATATATAGGACACATTTTGCAAAGGTAATTTACTTGGAGGGGGAGGGTATTTAATTTGCAAGAGATTTTATCAGAATAGCAACATCCCCAAAACCCTACAAATGATGACAAAAGCAACCAACCAACCAACCAAAATAAAACACCACAACCCTAGTACTCTGGAAAGCACCACAATGTTGTAACATCCTTAATCCAGGTTCACTGTCAGAATAGGTTCTGCAACACATCTTGAGCCAGCAGGATTCTGGAAGATTGTATTTTACATAGACAACTGCATTCATTTGTATATTCACAGACCCATCTCACCGTGAGAAGAGTGCTGATGAATGTTATGCAAAAGGTTACATAAGGATAATGGCACTGGAGACTAAAAAAGTTTCCTCAGTTTGTAGCAGTTCTCTAATGACTACAGGACTTACCAGAAGTTCTCTGTTTCTTTACCATGCTTTTATTCCTACGCTTCCTGCGGAACTGTGGAGAGCCTGCAAGACTGCAAGCTTTCCTTTAATGACACACTACAGCTTTATATAAAATACCATCACTTTTTCCAAACTCCCTATCAGTCAGTCCCCAACGTGCTGACCTGAGGGCCAGTGCATGCTTTGATAGCAGATAGCTTAAAGGTGTATGGCTGCTGTACTTCCCCTTCGCTTGCTATTGTCATAATATCCTTCAACATGAGCTGTTTCAACTCAGGAGCTTATTCTTTTGGATAATAAAGTCAGCAGATATTATTAATTTTTGAAGAGGGATGAGAAGAGGTGGAGAATCTGTTTCACACTCACTTTGTTTCTAACCGATATAGTGACTTCTTATGTTACATGAAAGATAAACCTTGCTTTCAATTGTTCCTGCTGTGCTTGTCACTTTTTAATTGGGTATGATCTGATAGAGTAATTCGCACTTTCACAGTTCAGTCGTGCCCCTACATGCAATTCTACAATGCCCTTGAAGCACACAGCTTAATATATCAGCATTATTCAATGACAAAAAGTAACGGACAAGAATACACCACTAGTCAAAAGTAGGTCAGTAAAAAGCTAACACTCATTTGGAAATCACCTCACATCACTAAACTCTACTCTCTCCTGTCAAATGTTTTAACTACATTAAAAGAAATGCAAACTTTGCTGCTGAAAAAGAAAGCTCCCCAGACTAGCTCTGTCTCCTTGCCTTCTTCTGCATGTAATTGGACAAGCTGTGACCTAGAGATTTTGTTGAAGGAAAACACTGCTTAAAAATCTTAGAGAGATTATTTCCCTCACAACAAACTGCAAGTACCACTGCACCAAATAAAGAAGTACTTTCACCCTTTTAGATCATCCATTTGAAACAGAAGACAAGTAACAAATTAGCAGATTTTTTGTTCTAAATTAATGAATATATTCACCATCACTTCAAAGAAAAAAAATGCAAGCAGAAAGCTGTGCATGCCTTCAACCTAGCTAAGAAAGTACTAGATGACAGAGGGGAAAAAAAAACCTACAATAATTTATGAGACTCTTTTCTGCATAAACATGCCAAATGGTTTATTTTTACATTTAAGTGAAGGGGATTGCTTTTTTTCATCAGTTCTCTGGGAATTTACATGCTTAGCTCTTATCGGCCTTAAGAGGAGGCATTAAAATAAGTATAAATACAGAAAATCAGACACCAGGGCATTTACTAAGATTAAAAAGACTTTTTTATGAAGCCTTAATTGAAAAAAAGTGATTCAGCACTTCTTTCTCTTATTTTAGTATATATTTTTGTTCCTCCTTACAGCAGCAGGAAAAGTCCAGTCTTGGAAGCACTCCTGGCCAGATGGAGCTGAGGGGCAATGGTGAGCTCCTGGCATGTCCGTTTGGTTGTTACAGAGCATAAATCTGCCATTTTAGAAGCTGTGTAAGCATCTTACAACAATTAACCTACATAGTGTTCTTCTAAAATAACATCATGTGATGTTTCTCATCTAAAAGCAGCCCCACCAGCGTAATGATACCTCTATTACTATTTGAGCCTGCACATGGAAGTATATCATCATTTTTGTTCTCCAATCTTGGTCCTCACAAATTGAGCTTACAAAGATCTATGGACCATGACATATGCTTTGGATTCTATGATCAATGTTTTCAAAAACTTTGTAAAACTGAGTATCTGACTGAAGACACCTTGAACCCAGTGTCCATATGGAAGCTCCAGGTGTAGGGATGTAAGAGCTTGGCACCTCAGAAGAATAAAGGGCCTCAAAAGACTGGTAGCCAATATCACAGCAGTTTTTAAGTGCTAGCCCACAAGTCTGTAGTTCACTACCAGACAAGCAACCCACACCCTAAGACCCAGAGATGCAAATCCAAAGTTAACTTCTTGCTTTTGATTCTAAAAGGCCTTTTTTTTGTTTTTGTTGGCTGTTTTTTTGGGGGGGAGAGGGGGGTTGTTTGTAGGTGAAGAGTGGGGGTGAGCCATTCTATGGTTCTGTGAACAGTGACACATATTTTTACACAAAATCAAAGGCTGGAACAGCCACAATGGCTGCTAGCAGATGCAGACCCAGCACAAAAAATACTGCCAGACATTACCTGCCCTCAGAACAAACCTGAAGCTTACACAATTAGCCTCTCCAATCCACAAGCATTACATTCCTTCTCAAATACTTTAATAGTCAGGTAAAGCAAAACTCCCACTGGCTTCAGTGAGATTTTTGTATGATTTAATGATCTAAGATGAGATTTCGCTCTTAACGATAATGTAAAAATAGAAGTAACGGATGGATATGCATTGATTCACCTATGATAAACTCTTGAATGCAGGATTAAGAGTGAACAAGGTTGACAGGTTGCTTGTCCTGTCACTATACAGTTTTTAAATGCAGAAATTATTATTAACACTAAGAAAAATGCAAAACCAGAACATGATTAGTTGAAAATATCTGATGTTTCCTGTCGTGGAAGATGTGCTGTGTTAATGTGTGAAGTTGAAGTCTGAAAAACTGCAGAATGGCTTCGATATATTTAAAAGTTAACTTGAAAAGACAGTCAAACTTCAATGATGACATCTCAGATACTCAACTAGATGTCAAACTGATTTACCAAGCCCCAATAACAAGAGCTTAGATTACAGGATTGTAAGGCATTTTGCATCTTGCAGACAGAAAGAAGAAAAACCCAAAGAATGAGCTCTGCATAAAGAACAGCCTCTCTCCAGTGCATTACTTCCAGGGAAGTTGATTAACAAGAACAAAAAAGGCCAGGATTAAAGAAAAGGAAATAGATGCCTCAATAAAGACATGCAAATACTCGAATAATTAGAGCTAAAATTCTGGGTTAAGTCAAGCCACCATATTCTACGCAGGTTTACTGACTGCCTTCTAGTACTGAAGTAAATACTGAGATACGTGGCTACAGCCCATCTCTTCCAGCAATTATGGTTTGTTATAAGGAATGTGATAATCTTCTAAATACCATTGCAGAAGAGCACAAAAATTGCCTCAGGAAATTACTGCCACCAGAAAGGAAGGGGTCAAAACTTAGGAGTCATCTAAACAGATTGGCTGTTCTGTGAATAGGAACACTACATAAAAGTGAAGTGGAAAGACTAAAATCAGTACTGAACATCTATGAAATGAAAGCCACACATGTAAAGACAACCCAAACTTACCTGATGGAGTTGAAGATACCATCTACCTAATTGGAAATGATTTCATAACACAACCACAGGCTTTCTTCCTCCTTCTAAAAACAAGTGGCTTGGAGAGCAGGATACTGACTGTCCTGTCACACAAATGTAAAGCAGTGCTTTGCA